GAGAAAGAATACTGATAATGTACGTTTGAAACACCACATTTTATAATCAAAGTCTTTTACATTCCCTTCTACATTCCTTGTTGTTCCTGATTACATCCATTTATCTTATTTGAAAAGTTTATTTTCCCTTGCATTTTACTTGCACTTTTACCAGATTTCTACTCTTCTCAACCCCTTTCTACTTCCTTTTACTTGCACTTTTATCAAGTTTTCGTATGCCTCTAACCTCCACCTTTCTCAGTTGAACATGTTCTTTATTAGAATTAGCATTTTTATCAAAAACAACACAAATATTGAGCATATGTCCTAGGATCAATCTGATCGATCATGCATGTAACCAAAAATCACCCTTTTTGGAAGATCGGCGGTTGTTTACCAATTTTCACGGTAAAAAATGTGCTAGCTACTATGTCATCCATGTTTAAAGTCAGATGGGATAATGAAGCTCCCCGGATCACTATTGAGAGATTGGACGAACCAGCATACTGTTATGAGGTGGATACTGAAGAAGTAGTGGACAAACCTTGGTTCCACGAAGTGAAAAGATACCTCGAGGCCCAAGAGTATCCTGAGGGAGCTTTCTTTAATGATAAGAAGTTCCTAAGAAGGTTCTCTTCCAAGTTTTTCCTCAGTAACAAAATCCTCTACAAGCATAACCACAACTCTACTTTGCTTTGGTGTATAAACAAGAGTGAAGCAGAGAAGATTATGGAAGATATGCATGAAGGTACCTTTGGCACCCATTCTAGTGGGCACACAATGGCTAAGAATATTCTGAGGGCAGGGTACTACTGGCCCACTATGGAAGCGGACTGTTATCAGCATTCCTAAAATTGTCACAAGTGTCAGATCTATACTGATATAATACATGTGCCTCCCATTCCCTTGAACGTCCTGACTGCCCCCTAGCCTTTCACAATGTGGGGAATTGATATGATCGGAGAGATTAGACCTATCGCTTCTAATGGGCACCGTTCATCCTGGTTGCCATTGATTACTTCACAAAATGGGTCGAGGCAGCCTCATTTGCTTCTGTTACCAAGAAAACCGTGGCTCGGTTCATCAGACATAACCTTATCTGTAGGTATGGTACTCCAGAAAGAATCATCACAGATAATGGTACCAATCTCAATAATACTATGATCACCGAGCTCTGCACACAATTCAAGGTTCAACATCATAATGCTTCTCCTTACCGACCGAAGATGAATGGTGTTGTGGAGGCCGCCAATAAAAAAAATCAAGAAGATCATACAGAATATGATGGTGACATACAAAGAATGGCACGAGATGTTAACATTTGCTCTTCATGGTTAGCATACCTCCGTGTGCACGTCAACATGGGTAACTCCTTTCTCTCTAGTATACATTATGGAAGTTGTCCCACCCATCGAAGCCAGATCCCTTCCTTAAGAATCATGAAGGATGCGAGTTTGAATGAAGACGATTGGATTCAAACTCGACTTGACCAATTGAACCTGATTGATGAGAAAAGGCTCGCGGTTATGTGTCATGGTTAGATGTACTAGAAATGTATGATCAAAGCTTTTAACAAAAAGGTCAGACGTCAGGAATATCAAGTTGGCAACCTAGTAATCAAGTGCATTATCCTGCCACAAAGTGATCCCAGGGGAAAATGGACTCCCACATACGAAGGACCATTTGTGATCAAGAATATATTTTTTGGTGGAGCCATGATATTAACCACTATGGATGGTGACGACCTTCCACATCCTGTAAACACAGATATAGTTAAAAGATACTACGCATACACAGAGACCTGCTAGGTTGACTGGCCTAGGCAAAAATAAGGGCATCCCGGTGAACCAAAAGGGTTCGGGCAAAAGTTAGGGATACATATATGAAAAAATCTATACACTCAGAAATTCGAAAACCTGAAAAGGCGGCTTGGGAAAAAAAGGGTATCCCGGTGGACTGAAAACCCGAAAAGGGTGGTCCAGGAAAAAGTTAGGGATTAAAAGCGTACAACTATGTCCCGTTGGATCACCTCATAGACAGACTTCAGTATCAAGTGTCAAATTCAAATGGTACTAATCAATCCAGTCAGCTTCGGTCAAGCAGCAAAGTGATGAGACGCTCAAAGATATAAAGGCAATTGTAGAATGGGAATCCAATGGGATCATTTCACATGGCTGTTTTTTCTTTGTATACTGCTTTGTATAGTTTTCATTCTTATGACAATATTCTCTTACTGGGATGTCGGTCTCCTTGTACAAAAACGCATGTTATAGGTAGACTTCTTCAGATTAATACAAAAATTACATCTTTGAAAGTGCATAAACTATTTATTTTATTTTCCTGTTTTGTTTTTCCCAAAAAAAAGTCCAGTGTTTATTTTTAACATATGCATTTGAATATAATCATCGTTTACGAATACACGCATAAAAGCAGAAAGATAGTTACTAATGGATTTAAGAAACGGGAAAATGTCTAAAAAGCCATCTGCAAATCCCCGCAGATACATTCCACAATAGATACATAGACAGAGACGTCCTCCTGCGAAGTCACGACCATCTCCTCAGCATACAGCCTATTGATGTCATAGGTTCCGACATCCCCTACAGAGCAAGAGTCTCAAATCATCTCCCCATCATCTTGAAGAACTCCACAACATGGTTCATAAACTTCTTGGGTTCCCCCAACAGGGCTTCATAAAAATCCCCAAGCAGTTTACGGAGTTTTCTTTTCCTAGTAGAGTTTTATTTCTCTAGCCACGGAAATCCATATCCCAACAATTCAACTTCAACAAATAATGAAGAATCGCATTATTCATCCCTAACAGTAGTCAGGGATTTATTTTCCCTCAATTCAACAGTGCTACAAAGAACAACTGATCAGTTCATATATTGCATTCATACATTATTTTACAAACATCATAGCATATGCATACAAAATACATATAGCATAATCTCATTTATTTTGAGAACATCATGCCTCATGACATTGCATACAGCTAAAATCTTTACCTTTTCAGGAAAGATCAACAAACAAATATCATCATCAACTTTCAACAAGTTCCAGATTAATACCTGAAACAAGACAGGACAATTATCTGTGAATAACTGATTGTAGATTAATACCTGAAACAAGACATGACAACTATTTACATGAGCAGATTGAAGATTAACTCCCGAAACAGGACGGGGAAACTATCTTTCTTTCTCTAAGGTCAGAGATTAATTTCTGAAACAAGCCAGGACAACTATCTCTACGACCAACAAAATACAAATTCCAGATTAATACCTGAAATAAGACAGGACACCTATCTATGAACAGCTGATTGTAGATTAATACCTGAAACAAGATAGGACAACTATCTACATGAGCAGATTGAAGATTAACTCCTGAAACTGGACGGGGAAACTATCTTTCTTTCTCTAAGGTCAGAGATTAATTCCTGAAACAAGCCAGGGCAACTATCTCTACGACCAACAGAAAACAAGTTCCAGATTAATACTTGAAACCAGACAGGACAACTATCTGTGAACTACTGATTGTAGAATAATACATGAAACAAGACAGGATAAATATCTACATGAGCAGATTGAAAATTAACTCCCGAAACAGGACGGGGTAACTATCTTTATTTCTTTTTGGGTTAGGTAATAATCAATTCCCGAAACGGGACGGGGCGACTATCTTTATCACCAATGGTATTAACTCCCGAAACAGATTGGGTTTACCAACAAATTGATTGTAGATCAATTCCCGAAACAAGACGGGGTGACTATCTACATGACAAACACTTCCTTCAAGACATTTATTGTTTCAGTACAAATCGGCCAAAGATTTATTCTGATACTTCTTCCAATTTCTACCAACAGTCACTCTGGATGGTATCTTTAAGCCCATTCCCGACACAATCAACCACCACATCATCGAGTGCAAATTTCTTGGCACTCTAGTGTTCAATCATCTTCCACCTTCAAGTCACGAATGGCGGACTCACCAATCTAACTCTTCAGGTTTAAGAAGCTTGAATAGGGGCAGCTGTTGTACACCCAAAATTTTCCTTCTCTTTTCTCAAGACATTTCTCACATATATTTTCAAAAGCTCAAGTTTGCATAATTATTGACTAGATCAAGCCACCTCCTCAGCACTAATACCTTAGAATTAGGGTTTGAGTTTGCACAAGTACAATTGGATTTTTAATGCCTCATATAGTTTCCATGGGTCATGTTGGGCTCTCAAGCATCAGGTCGAAGATGGAACTTCTGAATCCTCGAAAGGAGGAAGAGGAAACTACAGAAAGGGAAAAGCAGATAAAAAAAGGTGCGTAGTTGCATATAACCATGTCGAATTCAAAATATGGTTTAGATTGTTCGAACCACGTGACTGGTCGAAAGGAGTGGTTGCAGATTTTGACAAGTCGAAGAAGAGCAGGCTTGCTTTGATCCCCAAGCATCGATTGGGAAATGTCTTCCTTCGAGGAACCTGCTTCGATCCACCTCTAAACCCTTCGACACACATAGTTTCGACACTATGAATTACAATTTAATAAAAAAACTTATTGATAATAGTTCATTGCAATAAGAAGGTACTGGAAACATAGTCTTTCAAATGAGTAACAGAGGAAAAAGTTATGATTAAAGATGTGATCTATGTACTTGGAATAAAGTGCAACTTGCTAAGTGTTATGCTAAAAGTAGACACTGCAAAAGCTTTCGACACTTTGGACTAGAGATTTCTTCTTAAAGTTCTTAAGCAGTTTGGGTTCAATGAGTCTTTTTTTACTTGGATTTGGAAGGTTCTGGAATCCACCAAGGTCTCTATCTCAATTAATGGGAACCTCACTGGGTTTTTCAATTGCAAAAGGGGTGTCCGGTAGGGAGATCCACTGACTCCGCTGCTATTTTGCTTGGTCGAAGACATTCTCAGCCGAGGTCTTACCCACTTAGTGGACACAAACAATTTCAAGCTCATCAAGGCCAGCAGGACAGTCACGGTTCCCTCTCATACCTTTTATGTAGATGATATCATGTTGTTCACTAGAGGATGCACTTCTTCCCTTGATGCCATAGCAGATCTTTTCACTAAGTATGTTGATTGCTCTGGGCAGGTTTGCAATCCTACCAAATCTACCACGTTTGCAAGATCAATGGCAGTGGTTAGGCATGGTTTTCTGGCTAGTAGGATTGGGTTCAAGATGGAACACCTTCCTTTCTCTTACTTGGGTGTTCCAATTTTTAAAGGAAGACCAAAAGCCATTTATTTACAACCGGTAGCGGACAAAATTAAAGTTAAACTTGAAGCTTGGAAAGCCATTTTGTTGTCTATAGCAGGCATAATTCAATTGGTAAACTGTCATTCATATATGCTTCTCTACTCCTTTAGGATTTACTCTTGTCCTGTCAACTTAATCAAAACTATTGAAAGTTGGTGCATGAACTTCATCTGGAGTGGCAACATAGAAAAGCGGAATCTTGTAATTGCTGCTTGGGATCAATGTTGTCAAGATATTCAGGCTGGAGGTTTAGGGATCAGATCTCTCAGGACACTTAATGAAGCTAATAATTTTGTTCAATGTTGGAGCATTATTAATGAGATAGATTGTTGGGCTTCTATTTTAAAAGCTAGAGTTTTCAAGAGAAATAGGCAGATTAAATGCCATGTTTTTTCATCAAATCTAGACAGATAGCAAGGCTCACTTGACGGAATTAATGGATAACTCTATATGGTTAATTGGGAAAGGGGAAAATCAATATTTGGCGTGATAATTGGTGCGGGTAGACGCTTACTCCATTGTTGCAGATTCCTTCAGACAAACTTCAATTTTTGAAGGCTTCTTTAAAGGTGATCTTGAATAGGCTGAGTGTAATGATCAATATAGACCTATCTCTCTCGCAAATTTTAAATTCAATATTATCACGAAAATGTTGGCTGATAGACTTGCTCAAGTTCTCCCTCACATCATCTCTAAGGAGTAGAAAGGTTTTGCTCAAGATAGAAGCATCAAATATTTCATTTTCCTCACCTCATAGGTGGACAATGTTATTCATAAAAAGTATTTAGGCGGTAATGTTATGCTAATAGTAGACATTGTGAAAGTTTTTGACACTTTGGACTGGAGATTTCTTCTTAAAGTTCTTAAGCAGTTCGGGTTCAATGAGTCTTTTTGTACTTGGATTTTGAAGGTTATGGAATTCGCTAAGGTCTCTATCTCAATTAATGGGAACCTCACCGGGTTTTTTCAATTGCAAAAGGGGTGTCCGGCAGGGAGATCCACTATCTCCACTTTTGTTTTACTTGGCCGAAGATGTTCTCAACCGAGATCTTACCCACTTAGTGGACACAAACAATTTCAAGCTCATCAAGGCCAACAGGACAGTCATGGTTCCCTCTCATACCTTTTATGCAGATGATATCATGTTTTTCACTAGAGGTTGCACTTCTTCCCTTGATGCCATAGCAGATCTTTTCACTAAGTATGTTGATTGCTCTGGGCAGGTTTGCAATCCTGCGAAATCTACCATGTTTGCAGGATCAATAGCAGTGGTTAGGCGGGGTTTTCTGGCTAGTAGGATTGGGTTCAAGATGGGACCTTCCTTTCTCTTACTTGGGTGTTCCTATTTTTAAAGGAAGACCAAAAGCCATCTATTTTCAATCGGTAGCGGACAAAATTAAAGTTAAACTTGCAGCTTGGAAAGCTAGTATGTTGTGTATAGCAGGAAGAATTCAATTGGTCAATTTTGTCATTCATAGCATGCTTATCTACTCCTTTAGGATTTACTCTTGGCCTGTCAACTTAATCGAAACTATTGAAAGTTGGTGCAGGAACTTCATCTGGAGTGGCAACATACACAGGCAGAAACTTGTAATTGTTGCTTCGGGTCAATGTTGTCAAGATATTCAGGCTGGAAGTTTAGGGATTAGATCTCCCTGGACACTTAATGAAGCTAATAATCTTGTTCAATGTTGGAGCATTATTAATGAGACAAATTGTTGGGCTTCTATTTTAAAAGCTAGAGTTTTCAAGAGAAATATGCAGATTAAATACCATGTTTTTTTGGTCAATCTGGACAGGTAGCAAGGCTCACTTGACCGAATTAATGGATAACTCTATATGGTTAATTGGGAAAGGGGGAAATCAATCTTTGGCATGATAATTGGTGCGGGTAGACACTTACTCCATTGTTGCATATTCCTTCAGACAAACTTCAATTTTTGAAGGCTTCTTTAGAGGTGATCTTGAATGTCAACTCTTTTGTTTTGCCTAATGAGCTTATAAAACTTTGCCCAACTTTGCCTCAATTGGTCTCTGACGTGTATGTCAATTGTATGAATGATAATAATTTAATTTGGATGTTGTCCGATAGTGGGGAGTTAAATCTGAGGGAGGCGTAAAACCATCTCAGGCAGAGAGGGGACCAAATTTTGTGGGGTAAAAGTATTTGGAATGTCGTTATTCCTCCCTCGTAATATGTTCTTTTCTGAAGATTACTTAAAAGAAGGCTCCTAACATATGACGATCTTTGTAAGAGGGGTGTTTCCATGGCTTCAGTCTACAATCTTTGTTTTCAAGAGGAGGAAACAATATCCCATCTTTTCTTTAATTGTAGATATTCTAGAGATATTTTGACTTGGTTAAGTAGCATGTTTAACACCTGGGTTATAATTGATAACATCGACGACTGTTTGACAGTTATGAAGATTACTGCTTCTACACGGTGTTAAGTTGTAAACTGGACTGTAGTCATAGAGGCAATAAACTCCATTTGGCGTATAAGGAATCTTGCGAGGTTTGATCATAAACATATTCATTGGATGTTCTCTTGTTCATCTATCAATTCCTTGGTTATATTAGCTGGTAATTTCACTCATGCTCGCTCTAGCTTGGCAATTGATGATTTTCTGATTCTGAAAAAATTTCAATAAATATAAATGCGCCAAAGCCGCAGGTTTGTAAAAAGGTTTTATGGCATCCTCATAACAGAAGGTGGCTGAAAGTTAATATTAATGGTGCTGCTGGTGGAGTTCCAAATTTGGCAGCTTGTGGAGGTATTTTTAGAAATCACAGTGGTGATCATTTGAGCAGCTTTGCGTGTAACTTAGTTCATGAGAATGCGCTTTTTGCATAGCTTATGGGATCCATTTTCGCGATTGAACAGGCGGTCAATCACAACTGGCTTAATCTTTGGTTAGAAACTGACTCTAAATTAGTTGTTTTGGCATTCACTAAACCTTATGTTACACCTTGGAAGATAAGGTACATATGGGATAATTGTATGCTTCAGTTACAAAATTTTCATTTTTTGGTGACTCATATTTACAGAGAATTGAACCGCTGTGCAGATAAATTGGCTAACTTAGGATTAGGCGTCTCTACTTTCACTTGGTGGAATGATTTACATTTGTCGCTTGAACCAGACTTCATTAAGAACAAGTTGGGTCTTCCTAACTTAAGAGTTAGATAGGTTTGAGGTTTTGGCTTAATGTCCCCCTCATTTTTGTACCTATTTTTTCTTATTTATATATTTTGGGCAAAAACCCTCTTCAGTAAAAAAAAATACACAAAACAACATTTTATATAAAAATTAGCCTATTTTCTAATAATATGCGTATGTAAATTATAGGTGGTAAAATGAGTTCGGTCCATCGTGTATGTCCATTTTACTCGCACTTTTTTATTAGACGGGACAAGATTTTATATTTACACCCTCTAATATATTTGTCCCATTTTTTTTACGAACTTTTACAAACATAAATATGCATTAACATGTAAATTTACAATTTTGAAACTTAAAAGGTGCAATGTCGTGGATCCACCTCATTCCGTACTCATTATTTCGCATGTCAAGTTAAAATTTTAGGTCCACACCTCAACAAAGCACGCCCTATTCCATCCCATTTTTTACACTTTTTGCGGGACATGTTAATTTGCTACTCTTAATATAAACCCACATATCAAATTTCATAAAAAAAAATTTAATATCCTAAATTTAGTATATTTAATTAAATAAATTTAAAAAAAAAATAAACTTAACCTTTTTATTAAACAGGTAAGGCCAAACTATAGACTCAATCTTAACTATTCTCATCCTTTATGACCAAATTAAGACTTAATCTTACATATTCTCATCCTTAAGAATCATACCGATCTCAAAGTTTAAATTTTAAAGCAGCCATGCTATTCCTACACCACCCTTATCATCTATATTGTATTTACTGTTCATAAATACGGCGGACATTATCATTTATAAACAGTGATATGATTGTTAATAATATTTATAAATATGTATGATCAATAAATTTTAATAGTAAAACAAAATTGGTTAATGAAATATAAAAAATTGATTAATGAAATGATAAATTTGATTAATAAACGTATAAATATTTTAATAATTGATCTGACCTGATCAGAAGGTTTGGACCGTCACGGCTTACTCCGAGCTGAAGGCTTTTTGAACGAGAAGGGGGGGTACCTGCAAGGCACTCCGATGCTAAAGTCAGTGGGAGTACGAGCAGATAATAGAGTTGAGGTTAGAATGATGAATACCTGACCCTCTGGAAACAGAGGGTATTTATAGCCCCCAGCGCTGGGCCAAGGTTCCTTCATTGGGCCGGGCGGATTTGGCCCAATGGAGGAACTGCCAGGTTCTACGTGGGTAGTGGGGACCAGCACGTGGTCCCCTTCCTGGATGTGCTGCGTGAAGTGCGGGCGGACGGAGACGCGGTCTTTCCGGAGTATCGTTGGGGCAACGGTGGACTGAGTCTGCCCTAGCCAGGTAGCTCGAGACCATGTCGAGCTGCGCAGCACGGTGCCGAGCTCGACGCCAAGACCTCGAGCTGAACAGCGAGTGTCGAGCTGGACGTTAGGACATAGAGCCGGACGGCAGGGTGTCGAGCATGACTTCACCGCGTGGGGCTGGACATCGAGATGTCGAGGTGGACATTAGGGTGTCGGGCATGGACGCGATCCCCTTTGCCCAGTGTGGTCCTTAGTGAGTCCCTTTGGACTGGGCCTTAGTAATGCTTTTGGGCCTGTCGGGCCCAGTCCAGAACAGGAGCCCCCCAAGTCGTGGTTCCTTCGCGAGGAGCCATGACTTGAAACCAAGTTGTTCCGTCGCTGAGGTCTCGTGCCCGGGATGAAGGTGTGGACCCTCGAGGGGTCTCCTCGTGTCGTGCTCGGAGACGTCCTCGGCGGTGGATGCGAGGAGGACCCGTACCGGGCGTGCCGGTCGAGCACACGAGGCATCTTTCGGGAGTTGTGCCGCCACCCTAGGGGGGTAGGGCCATCATTGCGTTGGGAGCAGTGCGTCGAGGAGATGGAGTCCGTGGTTGAACGAGGTGACGTTTGGTATTCCACGTCATCACTATAAATAGGGTCCTTGGGCCCCATAATACGTTTTCCGTTCTCCGTGCTCTCTCCGTTGCCGCTCTCAACACTTTCCCCAGTTGTGACTTCCCGTCTCAGATTCTTCATCTCTTAGCCAAATCCCAACTTTGATCCAAGTAAGTGATCTACTTTCCTCATTTTTCCGTTTTAGAATGCATGATTCCTGGAATTTGTAGATGTTTTAGGATCGTGCGCGTGGGATTAGCCCGGTAGATTCGTGTTTTGCCCGACATATTCATGTCTAGGACCGGCAAACGCATACTTGTGGCCGACACATTCATAGTTTTAGGTGAAAAACTTCAGAGCTGCCCGGGGTCTTCATGATCCGGGCGCCTAATTCATGACCGTGCCCAGTATGTTCATGGTCGTGGCCGTGGGCTTCATAGTGCGGCTCGCCACGTTCATACCTCGGGTCGACATGCTTGGAGAGTGGCCGCGCGGTTGGTTTGAGGAAGAACACTGGGTTCAGGAAAGTCGGGGAGACATCCACTTGTAAAAACGGACTTGTGTAGTCGTGTATGGACGACATGATTATGTCGAGCATAGGACTTCGTGCTCAACTGATTGGTTTCCCGTGCTCTGCAGGTAACCATGGCGGACGAGCCGAGCTCCTCCGGACGTCGTGATCACGAAGAACAGAGTGCCGACGAGTCGGCCACCTTAATAGATACCGTGACCGACCCATTGCTGGAATGGGTGGGTGTCGAGCCTCGGGGGACAGCGTCAATATATAGCCGGGATGACCGACATCCCTTCACTGCCATTGAAGAGGGCCAAGACCAGCCCGACTTCCAGCAGAATTTCGTGGTCATGCTTCCGTCGACCAATGCAAGAATTTGCTCGGTGTACCCGAACTACAGCTTCGCGATGTATGAGATCGCGTTTAAGGACTTAGGGCTGCGGCTGCCGTTCACAGATTTTCAGACCGGAGTCTTTATGCATTTGGAGCTGGCCCCGTCCCAGCTACACCCAAACTCTCTCGCCTTCATCCGGGCGTTTGAGTTGACGTGTCGCTACTTGAGGATAGGGGCGACCATCCCTCTTTTCTTTCGGGTCTTTCACCTACAGCGTCAGTCCCGAGGAGGGAAGCACAGCTGGGTGTCCCTGAAGCAGTCGAGGAGACTGTTTAAGATGTATATGGACTCCGTGAGGGGGTTCAAGGACAAGTGGTATGTGGTACGCCCTATTACCGACTCTGCTGTAGATTCCCTCTTCGAGGAGGAAGGGCCAGTCAGCGATGATGACGGGGAAGCGATGGTGGCCGACGACGGGAGCCCCGTGTTAGGACGTCGGGCTAAGTTCCCGGTGTACTGGATGTCCCGACATTATGAGCATGGGACAGGTTATTTCCATACCGCTGTCGGGGACATGTGCCCGGAAGATCAGCGGTCGTACGAGGCTCTTTGCCGGTTTGTCGACAGTTTTCATCCCGCCCAATGGGTTACGCGGGAAGGGGATGATATCCTCGACAAAGACGGTTACCCGACATTCGAGTCTCGCCCGATCGACACCAAGGCGCTGGTGGAATGTTCGACATATAGGCAGGCAGCCCGCCTGTTAGGTTGTTTGTTTGAAATTCTTTATTCGTCATTTATTTACGCGGTTTGCTCGATACTGACTTTTCCTTTACTTCGTGCAGGTACGATGGCCAGCCGTCATGAAAGGCTCCTGAAATTATCAACCGGCCAGAG